ATCTACCCATTGATTAATCACAGTACATTGTCACATCAACATGGTGGTGAATTGTATTCACAAATTCTTTCCAATGCCTCTGAGTGGTAAAATATCATATATTGACAGTAATTGACAGTTAAATTCACTACTTTGCACTATATTCTGGTTGTTCTTATTTGCAGTGGATAATTATGACTCTAATGCTTTTCTGCAAACTCTGCAGCGGATGCCCTTCACTCACAGAATTTTGTCGATGGCCAGTATCCGTTGTCCACGTCACCAGGGGTCCCTCACCTTCGCTGCAACCGCAGGGCCAGCGAGGCCAGCATAGCCAGCCAGGTGTCCGGCTTAGCCGACGCTTACACCGCCTCCAACATCGCCACGAGTAAGTTGACCTCTAACCTCCTGAGTCTTACCCAAGCTTTGGTCTGCAAGGTGAATATCTATATGTTGATGAGCTCATTTCCTCCCTCCGAACATCCCTCAGCACACAAAGTGAGCCTCACTAAAAGGCCCAGTCTGCTGTCCCACCTGGCTCTGCCCTACAATAAATTTGCCAACCGGAGCTCGACCCGTCGGTTGCGCAACAAAATCCGTCAGGTGTTCCCGAGGCCCAACGGTGTGGAGTCTGAGCAGAGCTCGGACCTTAGCTCTGACATGAACTCTGACATGACCTCTGAGCTCACTGATGTCACGTCTAACATCACAGACTTCGGCTCGGCCCCCCCGTCACCTAGGGTGCTGAGCAACCTACAGCAAGGTATCGTGGGAGCTGTAGTGCAAGGACATGAGGGGAGGACGCTAGGCTCCATCCTCATTCCCTGAGTGTTTTTCTCTCCTTCTCTGGCATAGTCCTCCTCAGTAGTGCTGTTTCCAAAAATCACATATGTGTGACTTCTCCCTCAGCTCAGTCTCATGAGAAAAAAGCTTCTCATAGAGTTTGAGCTGATGTTCTCTTGCAAGTGTGTGTTTAAAACCTCTTTACAACTAACTGTTTATTTTTATTCCTAGTTTGGATTCTAGTGCCTCCTAGTGAAACCCTTGATACCGTGTTCTTCTACTTCCTTCAGTTTACAAGCATCCTGAACTGTTCATCTCTACATGAGTAGATCTGCAGTGGAAAGAGAGAGATCATGATACTGGATGCACTGATTCCTAAACTCTGCTGTCTTCTTCCCACCTCCTCCTTGTTCACTCTCTCTGCTGCAGTTGCATCTCGGTGGTGGGGCGGGAAGAGGATGGACTACGCCCTGTACTGTCCCGATGCCCTGACAGCGTTTCCAACAGTGGCTCTGCCTCATCTCTTCCATGCCTCCTACTGGGAGTCTACAGATGTTGTCTCCTTCCTGCTTAGACAGGTACGTAGAAACATTTCTGATCTTAAATTTGAAATGTGTTAACACCTAGGCATTTCAAGTTCTCACATATAAATGTTTTCAATGCTAAAGACGTGGTACTTGTCATTAGTTTACAACCACAGGGTAGACAGTAGTAGTCCTCAGTAGATGAATGATAGTGACTTTGGGGATCTTATGACTTTTTAAGTCAAATATCTTGACTACTATTTGAGTTTTTTT